GAACCCATTCATACCGAATAAATAGTCTTATGTTTCAAGAAGCGCCCATAGATTTAAAATTCGTCAATATATAGCTGAGCTATGATTTTTCAAACATTACAAGATTTCCGTTACACATTTGACCAGAGGCATCGTGTTCAGAGTGTTAAGAAGATTATTATAGAAGCTTTTTATGGAAGCTAATTCTAGACGCTTACCCGTCGCTTCGCACTTCTAACTAAAAAAAAACAAAAAAAAAACAATGGAACATCATTTCAAGGTTTATGGAACAAAATCAAAAAGTTAGTGTCCAAAACATGAACAGTATATGTCTAATTTATGGACCATGCCTATATTTTTAAGAGCGCAAACCTAATTTTTTATGGATTACTTTCATTAGTTTAAGGTACATTGCTGAATGTTTTATGGAATATTTGCAATATGTGTTTGGGTAATTCTTACAATTTCAATGCTTTTTTATTAGATATTTAGCGCGGTACATTTTTACAATTGTGTTGCTAAATTTGACTGAAAATATGGATCATATTGATATTTTTGATGGATCATTCACACATTTTAAGGGATTTTCACTGGGATTTTATGGATCATTTGGGTCCTGGAGCGTTTTTAAATTTGTTATGGATCATTGATTGGTTTTTATATTCAAAAGTATGTTTGCCCTTCTGATTCTGCATGTCAACCTTTGACTATCCTTTCCCTTACCCTTCACTGATGCATCTAAGCTTCTATGTTAAAAATCAACTTAGGCAGATAACAATCGACTCCATAAGTGATAAATCATTATATATAACATATAAATATACATTTTAATGCATATATAAAAGAGCAGGAAGGCTCCAACAGAGCACCCGATTGAAGTGATTTGAAAGGTGAGAGTGGGAATGCCAACTTCCTGGTGATAACATTTCGTGGATAAAGAGCGGGCTCTTCTACCCATTAATTGTGGTATCTTCCTGTTTGGGCGCTCGTCTTTTTGATTAATTGTGCGATCATGTTGTTGTAAGGAGATGCCAGATCCGACCAAAACAGAGTTTCACCAACCGGTGGAAACTAACGATTTTAAATTGGCTAACTACTTGACTAGCCTATTGGTCCCAAGCATTCTAGTACTACACAATGTTTGTTTTGATTCGCTATGAAAGGTTGACAGACAAAATGAGAGGTTAGTTGATTTTCCTATATTTCGAAGGGTGAATCGATTAGCTTGAGACCGAAAAGAGTGCCAGAGCTGAGCCAAAAAGTTGAGCACGTTTCTTCGGGACCTACTAGTCTTAAAGTTACCTCTATGGTTTCACCTTCGTGGGACCGGAAAAAGGACAGCAGGCGCTTATGGAGGCATTCTTCTTTATATATTTGGCCGTTGACGGTGCCGGTCGTTATGTACGGCTTGCTGAATTTACCGCACCCTGAGATCACCTGCCACACTAAGTACTTCTTGGCAAATTAGTCGACCCTCTTCTTCTCCGGAACATTCAGACGGGACTTACCGACGAAAAACTCCAGGCCGGGAATCTGCTTGGCGTCGGCTTTAATATAGTCTCGGCTCGCTTCATTGTCTGCTGGACGAACCAGACGGAAGAATTGACCTTCTTGGCCACGTCCCGAATCGAAAGGTTCGGATTGCGCTTGAAGTAATTCCTTACCTTTCTTGCGTTCACGGGGTCAGTGGAATTGGCTTTTCTTCCTCTGCCAGCTCGCCGCTGGGTTGCCTGGGTGTCCACGGTCGAATTGTCAATTCCAAACTGTGGGACTGGCCCGAGGGGGACGACTCTATCTACGATCCAGGAAATATTGTGTTTTGCTGTGGCTAGCTGCACGTACACTGAGTAGATAGAAAGAAGATTTATTACGATTTTGAAGATTTCCTGCAAAAAGATGATGCGCGATGCAAGTAGATGCAAGAAATGAATGTAGATTTTTCGAAGATTTATTCGCTAGTGTGAGATTTTTTGAGCATCTAGATTTGAGATTTAGATGTGTCGCCCCCCTCGGACTGGCCTGGATTTTCCACGACCGCTCCCATATTTTGTTTTTGTCGAATCACTTCTCGCTTGGAACTTTGGAAGCCATCTCTATAACCACTTGACAGATTGTGACGAGATTTTGCACATTACACTCTAAACCAGTGCTACTCAAAATTTCATCAATTTTTACCCATTCAATGAAAAGTTATACACAACAGAAAGTGTTGCATTTGTTTCGAGTAAAATCTTTATAAACATTTATATTACCTATATTATTTAAATGAACAACATTTGTATCCATGTAATATCTTCGGTAATCATACATCAGATGTTTTTATTATGTTGAAAATGATATAAGTGTAAATTTTTATTGGTTAATTGAACACGTCATATGGTGACCGGTTTAATGGTTAATTCAATTATTGGTTTTCGAATTTTTGACAAATCGGTAAACCAGCCATTTGAGCAACCCAGCACTGATTGATTTAAGTTTGAGATGCGAAGAGACAATTCAATGTTTTGAAAATACAGATGAAACTAGCTCAAAGCAATTTTTCTTGTATTTGTGGGCAAATAATCCTGAAAAAGTTCCAGCAACACCAAGCAAGTTGAACATCTTATCAATCTGAAAAATTCTTAAATAAATTATAAATTACGTGATTTTGAGAAAATTAAAAATCAAACATGGAAATTGATTGGGGAATTACGGAGTTACTAAATCTCGAACTTGCAAAAAATAGCAAATTATGAGATAATATTATCGTTATTTTATACAACCCTCCCCTTGGCTAGTTTTTTAACCTGGACGTTGGTGGGCGGGCCTAATCTTATGCTTCATAGTGGAGCGTTGGAGACGGTTGGTTTAGGTCCGGCATCGTTGGCTCATGCCGTGACAGAATAGCGTCATGAGCATGCGATGAGGATTACTGAGCTTCCCCTCTCTGTGTTTGAACTATGGCTCGGGTTTTCCACTGTGGTGTGCTTCTATTGTGACATAACCATACGTATTATTGTGGTGCGACATACTGGAAACATGTGAGCGTAGTTGAAGCATATACCCTATGTAATTTAAAAATCAGCTAGGAAACTAACTTCAAAGTGAAGCATTTTAGTCACTTGAAGGTGTCACCTGGGACGAACTAATATATATTAAATAAAAATAAAAGTCGAAAACAACTTGAAACACGTTAAATTTTAGATTACATTCATAAGTGCAGGTACCTAATAAAGCATGGTAGGTAGATTAGAGATTTCAATTATTTATTAAATTAATTAATTAATTAATTTATCTTTATTAGGGAGGCTTTCAGCCTTGGGCTGGTTCGCCTCCATTTATTAAATTAGACTAGAGATATCATAATCATCAAACGAACTTAAATAAGAAAATTTAGACAGCCTAGTAGCATTAAGTTTATTAACATAAGAGTTAGGATGCGGAGGGTCCGCTTAGGGAGGCAACTAGCCTTTAAAGCAACTGGCAACTAGCCTTTTCATGTATTGTCTGTTTATTTTGATTATTGCTTTAAAATATCAATTTGGTATATAGGGTAAATGTTGGCTTCGGCACCCATTGACTGTTTTCGGCAACCAAAATTTAAACGTTAATTTCACTATGTTTTCCCATCAACGCACTTCCCTGAATGTGTCCAAATGATTGTTTAGCCTTTCAGCTTCAATCTGATTATATTTGAACGATCGAGCAATCCAGTAATGCTACATTTTTCTTCAAATAAAGCATACGCACTACAAAATGAGGTTGATTTCGAGTTGCCGATAATAGAACAGCTGGTTAACACGCAGTTTTAATGGGAAGGTTGCCGAAGAAAAAGAGACTGCCGACAATAGTCACACTCACCTGAGAAGTTTGGAGCGTTGTAAAAACGCTTTCAAAACGTTTTGAAAAATTCTGTCGATTGGAATGGATAGAGAAGCAAGCAGCAGATGAATGTAAACAAACAGACACATCATATATGTGCGTGACGCTGAGAAAATGCTAGTAGAAGTGCAGACGCTGCTTAGATTGACGAGAATACGTAAATTCCCCTATGTGAAAGGATGAATCAATTTATTTTTTTTTCTCTATTTAGAAGATTTTCAGCCGCATGCTGGTTCATCTTCTAAAAGGATGAATCAGTGGGAGATGGATTTTCGGTTTCTTTACATTTAGCATCACTATGTTTCATTTCCTCAAAACCCCCCAATAACCGGCCTCTTCAATCCCTTCCTTTTCCCATGGCGTTCAAGTGGTCCGCATAGACTATTCAGCCATTACCCGTCCTTTATCCTCGGCTTTGGATTGACTTGCGCTCCCATTGCTCCACCAAACGCTGCAAAATGAAAATGAAAATATTATCGTTATTTTTTACAAAAGATTTTCAACTAGAAGTAGGTTTTTTAGGTATTTATGGAGCTTTAGTTTGGACTTAAAAATTCTAATCATATTTGTTTCGAGGTCTTTCAGGTCTTAAGATTACAACCATTTATCAAGAGTTGGAGTTTGAACTGTTTTCCAAATTGTGGAATTGAGGAAATTTACGTAGATCCTGGCCTTGAACCGTTACAATAAAATTATACAGAATTTGTTTACAGATTTTAGTCACCCGGATACAGATTAAAAAGATTTTATTAATTTAAAAATATTAAATTGAAATTGAAAAAAATGTGGCAACACTGGAGCCTGAGAAGAAAGAACGATGAATCATCGAACTCGCGTTTTAATAAATCGACAGTGAGCGTTCATAAGGGCCTAATTGCAATGATCGATTGTCTTAGTCGATTTTCTCTTTTGCTTCTGCTTTGCTTCTAATAGCCAATACATCCTGTTACAGCACTGTATTGAACAAATTTCAGAAAATTACTTAGCTGTAGTACATTAAAGAGAAAATCAATGAAGAGAATCGATCATAGGCCCTTATGCCTGCTCACTGTCGAAATGTTTTTCTTTCATAGAACCAACCGGAATTTGGGTCTTGGCTTTAGTGATGCTTCCCAGTTGTTCGGTCCACAACAATCGTTCGCGAGATCGTGACCGGCAATGCTGAATTGATTCCGGTAGTCGTTGAGTGGCTCTCGTCGGATGCGGACGCGTTTCCCGACCTCGCCCGTTACGGTTTTCGCGATTGCGCGCTGATACACCACGAGTGTGAGTGATAGAAGTTCTAGGCTGGTGTTTGATATTTATTTGCTCGAAGAAAGAGGAAAGGTTTGCTTGTAGACTGACGGGCATAGTGCGATGTGCCATGTGCGGAAATCGGGAGCAGAGCGATTTATTTTTGTTGATACTACTTTCTGCTCTTGCTTCCACTTGCCGTATATGTTATAAACGTTATGGGAAGATGAACAGCGGGTAGTGGCGACTTTTTTTCCGTTTATGTGATGCTATCAAGTGTGTATGATTCACGTCTGATCGATATAGTGATAATAGTGCTGGTGCTACTAAATATGCTTGTAAATGCTGTTTCAAGCCGTGTTTGCCAATTGTGTGTGACGGCGCCCTCCAGGTTAATTATGACGATTCTTGCGCTAATTTTACACGAACTGCAACGTTATGTAAGGCCGTCGTTCTTCTCTTGATCGGTCTGCTCTTAAACGGTGGCACATGAAGGCTTCAAGATGCAATCGTTGCAAATTATAGGGATGCATTGCTGCACGTTCTTCCACGAAACGAGCTGCGTGAAACAAAGAAAAGATATCCACGAGCGGATATTGTAAGAGAATGAAATGTAACTAAGCTGAAGAAGTGAGTGAACCTGGAGGCGGACTGGAACTGCATAGGCCTTGAACTTTCTGGTGGATAACTACTAGAAGCTGATTGAGTTGATTCGTCAATACACGGGTGATACTGGTCTGTCCTTCGTGAATTATTTAAGAAAGCTGACCTGACAGTGGTGTAGAGCCGCGCAACGCATTGTTGTGATCTTATCAGGCACATGGGAGATAATGGGCTTCAGTTTGGCTGAACCGAAATCGAACGGGGGAATTAGTTTTATTTTGATACTGCATTGTGTTGATTCGAATGCGGTGGTTTAATTTGAATGTCAACAAATAAATAAAAATATGAAGATGCGCAACGTGCAGATTCGTTTATTAGGGTGATAGCAATTAACGGGGCCTCAGGTAGCCTAGGTAGACGAAATGTTTCGAGTTGGAAATTTTGTCGTCTTCCCTAGGCATGTTTGGTTTGCGTGTACTGATTCCAGTTATAAAAGCATTTTAAAATTGAGTTTAACATCATTATTTTAATAATTTTCGATGTGTGTTTTGGTACCTAATTTCGCCTCTACAAATCCTATTTTCGCCCACCGCAGGATGCAAATTTCGCCCACTTCGTATTAACATTGGAGCGGGGCTTGGCATGCCGTCTTAGAGCATAATTCTCCAAGTAGGTGGGACTTATAATATGAAGCCAGAGGTGCCGTCCCGTTTTTTCAGTGGTAGGTAATAGATTCTGATGTCTGTGAGAGGAAATATTCAAAAAGACAAAATTTTCCCTGGGCGAAAATTGGATCACGTGTAAAAATCAGGATCCATAACATCCTTAATCTAATAATCGGGATCCACGTTAGAACATTGAAAGTGGACTATATTTAATAAAATGAGCATAGGTTAACATATGTGTCCTTAGCTTATTAACTCTCAAACCCCAAACGACTGATACTGAAAAACGCCAAAACTATCATCGATCTGGAAAACTGCAAACTCCTTTAGTTTTATTGAGCTTTAACGGATCTGAAATTTTTTGAATATTTTGAATTGGAATGGGGTGTCTATTGACCTTGAGGGTCTGAAAGTTAACTACATTTCCTCTAAACTAATTTCAACTGCTCTAGTCATTTATCAAAAACTCGAACCCTCATCTCAAGGCAATTTTATTGAAATATGTTTAGTAAGATATTTTATTCAGTTTTATTTTATGATGCAGTTCGCATGGGTCAAAAATACCTTAAATTTAATTATTTCACGAATAAAGCTCACATCAGTTTGCTTGAAATTCTTTGAAAAAATAAGGATTCAGCAAGTGGGCAAAATGTGGAGGGGGGCAGTGTATGGAATCATTACCCTACCACTGTGCTTGCCGCACAATATGCAATTTAATGCCTTGTTTGGCATAGAAAGCTCTCTGTGCGGAAGTGCATCCAGAACAGTGAGCTGCGAGCCGGCAAAACGCTCGCAGAACAAGCGTAAATAGCCTAGAAGAAGAATTATTACGTGTTCCAGAGTTTGATTCCTATGAACTTACTAATCATAGCTTGTAGACGAGAATTTATTTTCGACTTACGGGGTGTTCACGCAAGTCATTGCAATCAATTGCATAACATAAGCTTTTTCTGTGCAATATTGTGTGACAAGTAACAGTTACATTATGGGGTAGATGTACCAGTCATGGTTATACGTTCCTATTATGGTGTGTTCGGTTAGAATTATGGAAAATGGAATTCCCGTAGGCCATGATTGGTGAGAATAGATCACGCATTATTATGGTGAGAATAGATCAATTGCAGTCCAAATAGCGAAAAAATATACAAATTTTATATTGAACCTCTCCGAATTCCATGAAACTTCGCCTAATTGTTCACTAGGGGCAATGAACCAAGTTTGAATAGGAATTCGGCCATTTTTAATCTCGCTTAATTTTTCAAAATGACGTTTTCTATATTTTTCAATAAATCTCCAGTTCATCTAATCGAAATAACATTCGGGATACAAAGAGAAAGTCGACGAAGAGAATCTGTCAATGTTACTTCGGACCTAATGCAAAGTTCAGCTTGATTTGTCAAGGTCATCAATCGGGTGATAGGAATGCATAGGAGGATAGAATGATCGGGATGCATCTGAAAATCAGATATACTTTCAATATTATCGAAGATAAATCAATAATATTTTAATTAGTGAAAATGAGATTTGAGTTTGGTGCTCGAAGAGTGAATACAAGCTGCTCAAAAGGAAGAATTGTTTATCGGAATTAATAAATATAATAAATAATAAAAAATACTTTCCATTTATTTGAGAAATTTATAAAATTTGTATATTTCCTCAAAATCTGTAATCTGTATATACATATATCTTATCAAAATATTAAGAAAAATTTGTATGATTACAGATTAATCTGTATATGTGGAATCACTGGTCATCGTCTCCAACTGGCCTCTCGATACCCATAGCATGCAAGAACGTGATTGGTTGATAACGGTCAAAACGTTTAGGTAAACTCTCAATAGTTCACCAATGATGAACTATTGTAATATTTATAACAAACGATTCTTACATCAAATCTGAATAAATTGGTCTGATAAAAATTAAAATCAATTCAGAAATGGCCAAGTTATAGTGGTTTAAAACCTTACACTATTACGCAGTGTTGGGAAAATAGAAAAAAAATCAAATCTCACCAACGCCCAAGATCACGCTTGATTTTCGTAGACAAAAATCAACAAGCAAATAACTGCGGTTGATTTTGCAAGCTGTGATTATCGCAGCTCGGAATATCAAGCTAACAAAACTCACCAACTGCAAATCTTACCAAACGGTGGTGAGATTGAGTTTAATGATTTTTGCTTTACTCCCGAATGCAACCGAAACTTCCATAACGGCTTGCAGCAGTTCCTTCGCGTCTGCCATCGGTGAAGATTAAAAAGAGATAGCAAACTATGCTTTCTCTTTCTACGAAAATGATGTGCAATGGAATCATTTTTGTGTCGAGTCAACTCTTAGCTTAGCTTAATATTTTGTTGCGAGCGCATGAGAGCGGAAAAATATCAATTGATTTCTGATTTTGTCAACATTGCTATTACGTCACACATTTTTTTTTATTTGCACCCCAGTATATTGTACAAAGACGTAGTCCTTTGTTCTAACCAGCGAATGCAAACACATAAAGCAACCAACGATACAGCCAAACGGTTACTACGACTACCATGACAAACTCGCTCTGTAACATTGCTCGATCAGAGTGGTAGAAGGATAATGATATATTGCTTGCCTGCTTTGTTGCAATATACACGGATGAAGACATGAATTGATCTGAATCGGGAAAAGACATAACAAAAAAAAATCCCATCAACGCACGTGTATCATCTTCGGCTTTACTTCGTGAAGCAGCTTGCCGACAATTCGCTCGTTTCCTTCTACCGCCCCGAGTGAGCTGTTTCGCACGGGTTGCTTGTCATGAAAAAAGGAAGAAGATTATATCATTATTGCTTTCCACTTCTGACATACAGTCAGGAATCCTTATTGCCGGGCTATCCGCGAATAAGGATATCCACAGCTTATGGGATTTTCACTAATGGGGGCTGTGGGGGATTATCTCATTTATTTCAATACATAAAGCTACACTGTCTTCGATAAAGTTATTGTACTAGGATAGACAAACAAGCCTGTGTCATTGGATTCAGGTTTAATTGGGAACTACGCCGCTAGAGGCGCTTCACTTTTATAATACTTATGACGGACGTTATAATATATGGAACGTTGGACCCAAGTTAGAATATTTCGTGATCCTGCCCACACAGAAAGTTGCTGTCAATAGCAAAGTTGTTCAGGTGACCAAGTCCTTTGGAATGAAGGCCGTATTAGTTCAGAACTATCTCACTACGCAGCGCTAGTGTGCACATGAGCTTCCTGCATAAGCAGTATCTCGAGAGCCTGGCCATATAGAAGGTTACTATCTTCAGCAAAGTTGTTCAGGTGATCTTTTCTTTTTGGATGGTGGTCATACTAGTTCAAAACTCTCTCACTACGCGGCACTAGCGTGCAAGGGAACTTCCGGTATAAGCTGTATCTCGAGAACCTGGCCATATAGAAGGTTACTGTCTTGAGCAAAGTTGTTCAGGTGACTAAGCCCTTTCGTATGATTATCATATTATTTCAGAACTCTCTCACTACACGGCGCTAGTGAGCACATGAACTTCCTTAATATGTTATGTCTCGAAAGCTTGCCCATATAAGATGCTGCTGTGCAATGTGAGAACAGGAACCGGAAAAGTTATGACGTGTAGAGGCCGGAAATCGATGTCAAACACCATTTTGGAATCGGTTCAAGAAAAACTGTCGAATACCCTACAATACGGGTATTTTCCGCAAGGGAACAACGTGTACAGGCCGGATATCATTGCCAGACGTCATTTTAGAATCCAAGATGGCGACCATCGGGTCAAGAAAAACTGTCAAATACCCTGCTATATCGATATTTCCGGATAGAGAGTA